AGGGTCGAGGCTCGATGACATCATCAGCTTTCCTGTTGGCCTCCACAAGTGCCCTCCCGGCGGAAAAGGGGTTCCACGTCGCCACGGGTCAACACCCGCCGAAGCTGCTGCGAAAAAAAGTCCCAAGATGGTTGACATTTTTTATATGGAGGCGTACGCACGTCTCGGGCGGATTAAATATGAGGGTTCTGGTTATGAGTATGATTATGGCGATCGTGATGGGGATCGTGCTGATAATGTTGATGATGGTGGTGTTGGTGTTGATGTTGATGGTGATGATGTTGGTGTTGACGGTGGCGATGGATACGGCGTTGATAATGATGCTGGAACTGTATATAGTGATGCTGGCGACTTTGATGCTGGCGGTACTGATGATGACGGTGATGATGCGGATGGTGATGATGATGATGATGAAACTGATGATGATGCTGCTGAATACAAGAAAAATGAAGACGTGAACGATGATGGCGGGGGGATGACGGTGATGCTGCTGCTGATGATGATGGTGATGACGATGCTTGCGGCGACATTGATGATGGTGGTGGTGTTTCTGATGACGGTGATGGTGAGGACGATGACGACATCGATGCTTATGACGACGATGCTGATGATGGTGGTTGTGATGATGACGACGACGATGGTGATGATTATGATGATGATGATGCTGAGGCTGACGATGACGACGGTAATGATGCTGGCAATGGTGGTGATGGTGATGATTATGATAATGATGATGACGATTCGTATGATGATGAGGGTGATGATGAGTGCTGATGGTGATGATGACGATGCTGATGCTGATGGTGATGATGATCCACGCGTCTGAAAGGGGTCAGGAGCTCCCTGCTCGAACTGCCCCTCGGACCGAGGCGTTTCCCGATGGCCCTGCTGAGGCAACGCTCGATCTCGTGCGCCGCGGCAAGCCCGCGCAGATTCACCTGGGCGCAGAGAGGCCGCCCGCCGCCCCGGCAAAATCAAACGGAAGACACGACATCCGAGCAGACACGGCGACTTAGCCCGCACTCCCGCGGGTTGGTACGCAGCTTGCGCTGCCAGGCGATGCGTCAGGCGAGATCAGACGGCGAAGGCCTGGCGGGCCTGGAGCGGGACCCCTGGGAGGATGCCGGCCGGCCGCTGCGAGGGCGACCCGAGAGGCGGCCCCCGCCTCCAGGAGCTCGTCCGCAGACTGGAAGCAAAGGCTGTCGTTCTCGCCCAGGTCCAAGTCAAAGTCGGTCTCGTACGGGCTTTTCGGCTCCTCCCGCCTGCCCTCGCAGAAGCCTTCGTCCTCGCCCAGGTCCAAGCCGAACTTGCGCCCGCACGTGCCGTCCAGGTCCTCCAGCCCGTGCTCGTAGAGGCCCTCGTCCTCGTCCAGGTCCAGACCGAACATGCGCGAGCGCAGACTCTTCAGGTCGTCCAGTCTGTCCTCGCAGAGGCTCGCGTCTTCGCCCGGGCCCAGGCCGAACTCGTGCATGCCCTTCAGGTTATCCAGCCTGTCCTCGCCAAGGCTCTCGTCCCCGCCCAGGTCCAGACCGACCTCGCGCATGTGCAGGCCTTCCATGTCGTCCAGCCTGTCCTCGCAGAGGCTCTCGTCCTCGCCCAGGTCCAGGCCGAGCTTGCGCTCGACCCTGCCCTTCAGGTCCTCCCGCCTGTCCTCGCAAAAGGCCGTCGTCCCCGACCAGGCCCAGGCCGAGGCTGCGCTTGTGCATGCCCTTCAGGTCCTCAGCCAGCCTGCCCTCGCAGAGCTTCTCTTCCTCATCCAGGTCCAGGCCGAACTTACGCTTGCGTAGGCCTTTCGTGTCCTCAAGCCTGCCCTCGAAGAGGCCCTCGTCATCGCCCAGGTCCAGGCCGAACTCGCGCTTGCACGGGCCTTTCGGGTCCTCCAGCCTGCCCTCGCAAAAAGCCCTCGTCCTCGTTCAGGTCCAAGCCGAGCTGGCACTTGCGCATGCCTTTCAGGTCTTCCAGCCTGTCCTCGCAGAGGCTCTCGTCCTCGTCCTGGCCGAAACCGAATTTGCACCTGCGCATGCCCCTCAAGTCGTCCAGCCTGTACTCGCAAAGGCTCGCGTCCGCGCGCAAGTCCAGGCCGAACTCGCGCATGTACGGTTCCTTCGGGTCCTCCTGCCTGCCCTCGCGGAGGCCCTCGCCCTCGTCCAGGTCCGGACGGTCCGGGCCGAACTTGCGCCTGAACGCGCACATCAGGTCCTCCAGCCTGTCCTCGGAAAGGCTCTCGTCCTCGTTCAGGTCCAGCCCGACCTCGCGCTTGCGCAGGCCCTTCAGGTCCTCCAGCCTGTCCTCGCCCAGGCTCTCGTCCTCGCCCAGGTCCAGGCCGAGCTTGCGCTTGAGCCTGCCCTTCAGGTCCTCCAGCCTCTCCTCGCAGAGGCCCTCGTCGTCGGCACCGAGAGCCTGGCGGTGCTCTTCGGGTGCCGCTTCGAAGTCGCCGAAGGACACCGCGGCCGCCTCATGGAGCGGGGGCAGCCAGCCCCGGCGGGAGCCTGCGGCGGCCCGCGCCAGGCCCGCTGCGGGCGCGCGCGCGCGAATCCGCCCGCAGGGGGCCAGCAGCGCGTGCCACGCGGCGTTCCGCCGCCGCCGCACTGCGCCCGGGACGCGACCTTCCACGGCGGCGAGGCGCAAGGCAGGGCGCGCAGCAGGCTCACGGTCCTGCCGAGAACCTGGGCCGCCTCTGCCGGCCCTGCCGATTGCCGACTCGGCCGCGAAGAGGCGCCGTGCCCACGCCCGTCGGCGGGCCGCGGAGGCGCCTACGTCGGCCTCCTCCTCCCTGCGCAGCGCACTGACACGCTTGACCCACCTGATGGGACGGCCCGCCGTCGCTCCTGCGGGCAGCCCCCCGTAGCCATTGCTCATCTCCACATCGCGCGCCGCTGACCGCAGAGCGTGGGCGCTTGCGAGGGATCTGGAGAAGAGTACACTTGAGCCAAAATGGCAACGGATGGTGATGATGATGATGCTGATGATGATGATGATGATGATGATGATGATGATGATGATGATGATGATGATGACGATGACGATGCTGATGATGATGATGATGATGATGACGAATGATGATGATGATGATGATGATGATGATGATGATGATGATGATGATGATGATGATGATGATGATGATGATGATTATGATGATGATGATGATGATGATGATGATGATGATGATGATGATGATGATGATGATGATGATGATGATGATGAGGCTGACGATGGAAGGACGTGACGAGGAGGAGAAGAAAGACAAACAGGACGCATCAGAGAAGAAGGCGGACGACGACGACGACGTCGACGATATCCTTCACCTGTTCGACCTCCTCCGCCTCGAGCGCCTGGACTTTCTGCTGGCGGGATGCCCCGGCTTCCTGGCGGCAGGGGAAGGCGGGCACGACATCGAATCCGCGCGTGCCGAAACAGCATAGGGGAAATGGAAGACGATTAGAAAAAGGCGAGCCCGCGCAACTCGACAATGATAACGGGAAGCCACCAAGCGGGCTGCCGAAGACGAAGCCCAAAGGAGGCATCGATGAAGACGAGGAGAGGGCGAGTCGCGCCCCTCCACTCCCCCCAGAGAAGGGATCGTGGGCATGCTTGGGGTAGTCGGGCCAAGGGGAAGGGTGGGCAGTGAGTGGAAGGGGAGGAGGAGGAGGAGGAGGAGGAGGAGGAGGAGGAGGAGGAGGAGGAGACCAAAGAGAGGAGGAGGAGGAGGAGGTAGGAGCGGAGGTGAGGAGGCGAGACGGAGGAGGAGGAGGAGGAGGAGGAACAGGCAGGAGGGGAGTTGAAGAAGGAGTTGGAGGAGGGGCGGGGACCGAGGGGGGAAGGGCGAGGGGAGGCATACTGCACCACGCAGTCGAGGATGGGCCCCTGGTGCGGGGCAGGTCGTCGCATCACCCAGCCCTGACTTTTGTCCTCCTCCTCCTCATCCTCCTCCAATTCCTCCTCATCATCATTCTCCTCCTCCTCTTCCTCCTCCTCCTCCTCCTCCCTCCTCCTCCTCTTCCTCCTCCTCCTCCTCCTCTTTCTCATATTCCTCCTCCTCCTCCTCCTCCTTTGATCCTGTGTATCCTCTTCTCCTCCTCTTCTCCTCCTCTTCTTCTCCTCCTCCTTCGGAACTTTGAGCCTGACTTTCGAGGTTTATGCTGCATATTCGAGGGACCTCGCCTGTCCCGTCGCGTCCCTGCCCGCGTCGAGTCCGTGCTGAGTCCATGTCTGACTCATCAAATTCGCGCCGCATCCAGGTCGAGTCTGCATGGAGTCCATTCCGAATCCGCGTCGGGTCCGCACCTAGCCCGCGACAGGCACAAGGAAAGACAACGATTTGACGAGGTCCCCCAAAGATGCAACGTAAGGAGGCCGGCCTCCCGGACGGAGGCGTGAAATCACGTGCAAGGCCACGACGGGGTGGGGCAGTGCTGGAGGGCTGCCCACGCACTTCACAGCCGGAAGGAAGGAGGGCGACGAGCGCGCGGGAGAAGGGACCAGGAATAGAGAGAGGGGGGGGACCAATGGGGGAGGGGATGGGGCACGCGGGAAGGCGGAGGGGGGGGGGGGGGGGGACGGGGAAGGGGAAATGGAGCGTGGCCAGGGGGAGGAAGAGATGGGGGAAGAAGGCGCGGGGGAATGGGAAGGTAGAGGGGGGGGGGGCACACGCTGGATGCGCTCGCGCCATAACTGGCACCCTACCCCTCCCACACACTCCCTCCCATGGCGCTGAGGTGGTTCTCGATCCGCCGACGGTGTCACAGCGGACCTGGAAGCTCAAGACGGGCACCGCCCCGTCCTGCACGGACAGACAAGAGAATGGCAAGGATGATGAGCAGGACGACGAGGAGGCGGAGGAGGAGGGGGAGGGGGAGGAGGAGGAGGCGGAGGAGGAGGAGGAGGAGGAGGAGGAGGAGCAGGAGCAGGAGCAGGAGCGGGAGCAGGAGGCGGAGGAGGAGGAGGAGGAGGAGGAGGAGGAGGAGGAGGAGGAGGAGGCACCACCAAATCGAATCCGAGCGCGCCGACACAGGAAGCTGGGAAATGGAAGACGACTGGAGGAGGAGGAGGAGGATAGGAGGAGGAGGAGGAGGAGGAGGAGGAGGAGGAGGAGGAGGAGGAGGAGGAGGAGGAGGGGAAGGAGGAGACGGAGCTCCACCAGCAGAAGCAGGCGTGGGATGAGCAGGGAGGACCAGGGGAGGGCGGAGGAGGGGGAAAGGAGCGGGGCGGCAGCAACAAGAAAAGACTCGGATGCCCTCGCTCGGACGAGCGCGCCTTTCTGCACGACGGGAGCAGCGCGCCGATCCTAAAAGGAGGCTGGCGCTTTTCACTCGGCGGCGACCGAGGGGGGGGAAGAGAGCAGGAGAAGGCCTTCTCGGAAAGGCGGCGGGACTCCTCAGAAGCCCCCCCGCCGTTCCGAGGGGTGTTCTGCGCCTGCGGGGGTGGCCGCTTGAAAACGTCTCAGGAGATCTGGTGGGAAGGCACCAACTATACACCAACACCGATCCTGGCCAGGATCGGTGTTGGTGTATAGTTGGTGCCCTCCGATCTGGGGGACCTCCGAGCCTTGCGAGAGGGCCTTTTCCTCCTCGCTTCCCCCCCGGGCTCGCCGCCGAGCCACGGGAGCAGCGCGCCCACCCCAGAAGGAGGCCCACGCCGCAGCGGGAGCTCCCTCTTGAGGCCTCCGGGGGCTGCTGTAACAGAGCCACACACACACACACTCCAAGCACCAGCGGCTAGCGGCAAACATCCTCTGCGCGCAGCAGAACGAGGCACGGAGAGGGCGGGCCGTTTTCAGCACGTCGCCGGCGAAGAGAGGAAGAATCTGACCGAAGGGGCCCAGGGACACACACATAAATATATACAAATCCCACGATTCTCCATAGTTTCCCATATTTTCTGGGTTTCCGTCTTCTCCCCCACTTGAATACATTCTTCTGTTGTTATTGGAATCGACGACTAATTGTTTTTGTGTTCTCCCACTCCTGAATTACACATGCAGAATACTCTTCATACGGATCCAAGGGCGTGCCCAGACGGGGGGCCCGAACGGACCTCTCGAGCCCTCGGCCCCCGTAGGCTCCCAGGCGGCCCCCAGAGGTTCCCAAGAGGCTCCAAGAGGCCCACAAGAGCGCCCCAGGAAGCCCGAAGAGGCCCCCAAGAGGCCCCTCAGAGGCCCCCAAGAGGCTCCCAAGAGGCGCTGCAACTCCTCCCAGAGGCCCCTGAGAGCCTTCCGAAGAGACGCCAAGACGCATCACTGAGGACTCTGGCCCACGCAGACGTCGTCGTCGTCGCCGAGGCCGCAACTGTCGTCGTCGTCGTCGTCCCGTCGTCCCCCCTCAGGGCCGGCGGCACCGGCTGTAAGGCCTTCGCGATCTTAAAGGGAAGGGGAAGGACGAGGAAGAGGGGATGGTCTACTGGACCGCTATTATCCTTGTCAACGGGCGCTGTCACGCGTGCGGCACAACCTTCCGACCCGGGGGCGCCTTGCTGGGGAGCTGGTTCCTTCGGGGTGGCCTCTAAAAACCTACGGGACAACACGACAACACGGGGTAAGATAGGAGGGAATGAGAGGGAGGAGGGGGAGTAGGAGGCGAGGAGTGAAAGGGTCAAGAACAGCAGCGCCAAGCAATGCCGAATCATGTCAAACGCTGCTCAGCAAAACTAAGCAATGCCAAGCATAGCAAGGCTACATCAAAATCCCAGCAATGCCAAGCACTGCAACCCAATACGAAGAAATGCAAATCAACGCGGAGAGATGTCAAGCAATGCCCAGCAAGTCCAAGCACCCCAACAATGCCCAGAAAGCCAATGCCAAGCAATGCCAAGCACATGTCAAGCAATGTCCAAGCAACGCCCACCAACGCCGCACAGCCTCAAACTTTCTCCTTCTCTATCCTCCTCCTGGTCCTCCCCCCCGACATCTGGATGCCACTTCAAGCAGCGAGAGGAAACGTATTGGCTTCTATGTGTGTTCGACTTTGTCATCCTCCATCCTCCATTCTCCACTCCTCCTCCTGGAGAAGGAGGAAGAGGGGCAGGGAGGATGTGGACGAGCCGCATGTAGGGTCCTGCACCTCCCTCTGGGGGGCCGTTGTTTCCTCCTGGCCAGCGCGCTCCGCGGGCTGGCGGGGGGGGATCCGTCCCTCCGTCCCTCCTCCCTCCCCCGCTCCTCATCCTCCTGCTCCTCCTCCTCTCCTCCCCCTCCTCCTCTCCTCCTCTTCCTCCTCCTCCTCCTCCTCCTCCTCCGCCTCCCCTGCCTCCTCCTCCTCCTCCTCCTCCTCCTCATCCTCCTCCTCCTCCCCCTCCTCCTCCTCCTCCTCCTTCTCCTCTTCCCCCCCTCCTCCCTCCTCCGCCTCCCTCCCCTCCCTCCCCCGCTCCTCCTCCGAGTCGTCCTCCTTCTCCTCCTCCTCCTCCTCCTCCTCCTCCTCCTCCTTCCCCATCCGCCTCCTTCACCTCTTCATCCCTCTCCGTGCCCCTACCTCATGGATAGTGAACTCCCCCCTGCCGTACCACCAGGCGTGACGGTGGGGCTGGCTTGGCGATTCGCCCGAACTCATGACCTCGGAGCTCTGCCTATCGATCCACAAGCTACACGTAAGGAGCACAGGTCGCCTTCGGCATGGGGCGCTGGCGTTGGCGCTGCGTGCAATGCTATGAACTATGTCCATCGGCCACAAGGATGGGGCTCTCGCCTTGGCGCCTCGCAGGCTCGTCTCAAACAGCACAGCGCCTCCGCGGGTGGAGCACGCGCGATTTTCACAGCGGGGCTCTCGTCCTGGCGCCGCGCAGGTTCGTCCCACGAGCTTGCCACGACTACACGGACGGAGGGCGGCTCAATATCAAAGTCAAACTCCCGCATAAGCACGACCGAATTGCACAACCCCAAATTCAACATGAGAGCGTTTCTATATTCTGGGCCCGTGGCGTCCATTACGGGGGGAGGGTGGCCGGGAGGGTGGGGGTACCGGTAATGATTGGGGTGGGGGCGTGTTGGGGGGGGTGCGGGGGGCATGCGTGCACCGCAGCGCCTGTGCACGGCGCCTGTGCACATCGCAACGCCTGCGTACAGTGGAACGCAGTGCCAGTGTACGCCGCAGTGCCTGCATGCACCACATCGCCTGTGTGAACACCACATCGCCCGTGTAACCGGAGCAGCCGTGTGCAAAACAGCGCCCGCCCGTGCACGCCGCAGTGCCTGCATGCACCACAGCGCCTGTATACACCGCAGCGCCCGTGTACACCAGAGCAGCCGTGCACACCACAGCGCCTGTGTACACCGCAATGCCTGTGAGTACCACAGCGCCTGCGCACACCACAGCTGCCGTGTGCAACACAGCGCCGTTGGTTACACCACAGTGCCTGCGTGCCCCACAGCTCCTGCGTGCACCAGAATGGAGCGCCTGAGTGCCTGCGTCGCAGGGCCCACGCGCACCACAGCGCCCGCCTGTGTACACCCCATGGCACGCGCAAACCACAACAGCCGTGTGCATCGCAAAACCGTTGCCGTATGCACCGCTGTAGCCGTGCGCGTGCACCGCAGCGCCTGTGTAGCCTGCAGGCAGCGCCCGCATGCACCAGAGCGCCGCATGCACAGCAGTCAGAGCGGCCGCGTGCATCAGATCGCAAGCGTACACCATGCAGCCGCCGGGGGCCCGAACCTAACAAAATCAACATGTTAGTTTTTTGTGAATATTGACTTTGTGGCCTGGGGCGCGGTCCCCCGGTTTTTGGCCGACACTGCCTGTGTAAATACACCACGCTGCATATTTGCACTTCCCTGCCTGCGACCACCAAATTGTTTGGGACCGCTGCAGCTGCTGCGGCATCATCTGCATGCACCACAGCGCCTGTGAACACCACGCGGACTGGGGGCGCGCAGAATGGCGCCAGCATGAGGAGTTTAAGCAGGAGAATCAGGAGGAGCAGCAGGAGGCCAAGATGGTTGAGCCAAGGAAACCCTTGAGCCACACGAAGACGATCGATGACATCCTAGGGCCTCTAGAGGCCCCAGGACGTCGTCGTTCGTCGCCGTCGCCGTCACCGTCGCCAGATGCCCGAGAAGCTGTGAGCCGTCGCCGTCGCCGTTGCTGCCGTCGCCGTAGCCAGCGAGAACAACGGGGGCCTCTGAGGAGAGAAAGACCATCTTCCCCCTCCTCCTCCCCCTTCTCCCCCCTCCTCATCCTCCTCCTCCTCCTCCCCTCTCCTCCCCCCGGCTCCTCCCCCTCCTCCTCCTCCAGCTCCTCCTCCTCCTCCTCCTCCTCCTCCTCCTCCTCCTCCTCCTCCTCCTCCTCCTCGTCCACGTCTCACCAAGGCAGGGGTGTTTGCGCGCACCACAGCGCCTGCGTAATCAACAACAGCCGCGTGTAACACAGCGCCAGTGTACACCAAAGCGCCTGCGTGCACAACAGCGCAGCGCCGATGTGTACGCCTCCGATGTGTACGCCCGCCGCGGGATCGTTACCGTCAAGGGGGAGGGAGGGGGACCCCCCGTGACAAGCGTTACAGGGGGTTATAACAAATCCTTCATTCTGCATGTGTAAGGCGTATACGGATAGGAGGGCTGAGGGTCCTGTGCAAAGCGAGGTCCCGCCTGAACTGGAAGCCCACAGCGCATCCGTATCTGGGGGCTCTTCCCGCAGCTAAATGGAAGGCTTGTAAGAATTCATGACGGGGGGGAGCTTGGGACGGGATGGCTCCCGGCAGCATCGGTAATGCATCGTGGGTTCACTTTGGTCCTGCTCGCTATCTTTCTTCTCCTCCTCCCTCTCCTCTTCCTCACTTGAACTTGTCAGCCGTGCTGTTTGGTGCCTGTGCTGCAATACTGCTAGGGGGTTCCCAGAGGACCTTGCCTCTGCTCCTTCCCCCATGCTCCCCTATGACGCCGAACCACAGTGCACCGCTTGTTGTTTGTAGCGCTTGGCCTCCAGGGTGTGCGCTATGCAGCTCCAGAGTGAACAAAAGCACAGGATAACAGCGGCCCCCGCGAGGTGCTCGAGAGGTCCAGGAGCCCGGCATTGCAAGAGCCACAGCACCGCGGAGGCTGAGTACCCGCTCCCTCCTCCCTGACCCTCTAGACCGCTCCACTCTGCTCATCTTCCCTCCCCCCTCCCCCCTTCCTCCCTCCTCCTTCTCCTCCCTCCTCTCTCCCTCCCTCCTCCCTCCTCCCTCCCTCCTCGCTCCTCCCTTCCCCTTCTCCGCCCTCCCTCCCTCCTCGCCCCGCCCCCTTCACGGAGTCCTACTTATTGCGGTTTCGTGCACGCCCTGTACAGGTGGTGATCAGAGGGCAAAGTTCTGAATCATGCAATCTGAAGGAAAGGCAGCGGAAGACAAGGTCTGCTTCAACGATCCTTGGATTCCGCCCGCTTCTCCACTCACCCCATTCTACACATCCGCCACCTCCTTCCCCTGCCTCTCTCCCTCCCTCCCTCCCTCCCTCCCTCCCTCCCTCCCCTGGAACCTCCCTCCTCGCGTCCTTCCCACCCTCCTCCTCACTCCCCTTCCCAATCCATCGTTGTCCTCCAAGTCGTCCCTGCCGTCGTCGTCGACGCCGCTGGCCTTGTTGCCGTCGTGGACGCAGCAGTCGCCGTGAGCGTCGCAGCTGTCGTCGGCGTCGTCGTCCTCGTCGTCGTCGCCTCGTCGTCGTCGCCGTCGTCGCCGCCGCCATTGCAGTCGAGGTCCTCTGTGCCGTGGCCGTTGTCCGCTGTGCCCGCGCCCGCGCGCGCGCTTGGAGGATGGAGCATGAGGAGGGATGAGGACGAGGAGGATACGGAGAGGAGGAGGGGATGGAGGAGAGGGAAAATGGAGACAGGGAGGAGGAAGAGGAGAAGCATGATGATGAGGAGCAGCAGGGGCAGGATGAAGAGGCAGGAAGAGGCGGGAGGAAGAGGCATGCACGATCCTTTCCCTCATTCCTCCTGCCCCTCCTGCCTCATCATCTCCTCACGCGCGCTCCCGCGCGCGCCAGCGGCGACGAATACGGCGAAGACGACGGTGTCGGCAACGATGGCAGAGACGGCGGCGGCGGCGGCGACGGCGGCGAGGGCGACGGCGACGGCGACGACGGCGCGGGCGACGACGGCAGCAGCGACAGCGCCGACGGCGGCGGCGGCGGCGATGGCGACGGCTGCGCTGTCGACGGCGATGTCGACGGCGGCGGCGGCGGCGACGGCGAGGGTCCTCGGCGGCTCGCAGCTCGCCGCGGAGGGCCTGGGACCGCCTCTCCTCCGCCAGCAGCTGGCGGCGGAGCTCCTCTCGGAGCGGGCCCTCGGCACCCCGCCGCCGCGGGCCGCCACGGGCCGCCGACGGCCGCCGAGGGCCGCCGAGGGCCGCCGCGGGCCGCCGAGGGCCGCCGAGGGCCGCCGCGGGCCGCCGAGGGCCGCCGATGGCCGCCGAAGGCCGCCGATGGCCGCCGATGGCCGCCGAAGGCCGCCGATGGCCGAGGGATCGGTTCGGTCGGGCCTCAACGGTCGCGGTGCGAATCGTGAGGCTGGCGGCGCGGAGGCAACTAATTACTGGGAGGTTCCCGTCGGAAAGATTAAGCAGGATTGAGCCCCATTTGGGAGCTATGGGATCAAGCGGGATCAAGCCGGATTCAGCCGGACTTCGGACGAGTGCAAAATCAGAACTTGACCTCCCAGGAGTTGCATCCCAAGCACGTGCTACCCTCAGCTGTGCATGGTCAGGCTGGCTGCCCTGGAGGCCCCGCCGCCCGGGGGCCGCTGCTCGCCGTCGCTGTGGTCCGTCGCGCGACGCCCGCGCTAGCGCAGCCACTGGGCCACGGTGCGCCGATGCGGGGCGGCGATCGGCGGGTCCATGACCTTCGCCTTCGGCGCCCTCCCCGCCGCAAGGTCGGCCCGCCTGGAGGTGGAGCCGTTGACCTTGCCCGTGGGGTGTCCCAGGCACTGGTCGGCAAGGCCTTCAACTCTCTGGCCTGAACGGCTGCCGCATCGGCAGCACCAGACGTACGGGCCTGTGAACCACAGCCTATGCCCCCCGACGTTGACGTCACTGGCCCAATTCGTCGAGCACCAGGCGGGCCGTAGCGTGGCCGTTGTCGTCGTTGCCGCCGCCGCCAACATCGCCGCTGCCTCCGCCGCCGTCGCCGCCACAGGCACCACTGCCGTCGTCGTCGGACCTGCCGACGATGACGGACGGCGACGGCGGCGTCGGGAGCGTGGTCGGCGGAGCAGGCATGAGAACCCGAGGGATAAGAGAAGGATGAGGAGCAGGGATGAATAGAGAGAAGGAAGGACACAGGGATGAGGGGGAGGACGAGGAGGAGGAGGAGGAGGAGGCGGAGGAGGAGGAGGAGGAGGAGGAGGGGGAGAAAGAGGAAAAGGATGAGGAGGAGGAGGAGGAGGAGCGGAGGAGGAAGGAGGGGGAGGAGGATGAAGAGCAGATAAGGAGGAGGAGGAGGAGGATGACAGGATGAGGATGAGGATGAGGAGGAGGAAGGAGGAGGAGGAGGAGGAGGAGGAGGCGGGGGAGGAGGATAAAGAGCAGGAGGAGCAGGAGGAGCAGGAGGAGCAGGAGGAGGGGGAGGAGAAGGAGGAGAAGGAGGAGGAGGAGGAGGAGAATTGTGAGGAGGGTTGTGAGGAGGAGCGCGTACAGCTCAGGAGGAGACGGACACGGAACGTAGAGGGATGGGGAGGAGCAGGACGAGGGGGACTCTGGGGCACTGTGATGAAGCGGGCCGTTCGATGGCCACACGTCGCGCGCCGGCGCGGCGGGAGGCCGAGCCTGCGCTGTCCGACCCCCCGTCCTCGCAAGAAGCGCACGCCGCTCCGCGCTGGAGCCCCGGGCACGCCCCGGCTCCACCGGGCCTCCGAGCAGCGCACCCGCAGCCGTGCCGCCTGGCGACGCCGGCGGCGCCCGAAGCCGGGAAGGCCCACGGCCCGCGGACAGCGAGCTCCCGCCGACCTGGACGGCCCGTCGGCCTGGACGGCCCGTCGGCCTCCGCTCGAGCAGCTCGGGGGAGGGGGGGGGCAAGCAGCACGCGCCCGCCCCGACGGCCCAAGGGCGGGGCCCGTGGAGGAGGAGCGGAGCAGCGGGAGCAGGGAGGCGGGGGAAGCAGGGAGGAGGGGAGGGAGGGAGGAGGAGGAGGAGGAGGAGGAGGAGGAGGAGGAGGAGGAGGAGGAGGAGGAGGAGGAGGAGGAGCATCAGGAGAAAAAAAAAAGGAAGGGGAATGGAAGAGAAGGACCAGCAGAAAGGGGGAGAGGTCGACGGCGACAAAGACGGCAACGATGAAGGCGGGGGGGGGTCTCCAACGTGTTGCCGTCTGCGTCGCAGCTCTTGGACCTCGCCTGAACTTGCTGCGCCAATTTGCCCGTCGTCGTCGTCGTCGTCGTTTTGCGCGCGTTTGTGATCGGCATCGTTCCCCTCTCCTCCACGAGTCCTCGGAGCTGCGGGCATTGGAGTTTCCGCGAGACGCAGCCCTTCTCCGCTCCTCCTCTCCTCCTGCTGCTACTTCTTCTCCACATGGTGCCCATTCTCCTCCTCCATGCCCTGGCACATCGACTACAAGCGCTGCGCCAGATGCCGTCCTACTTCTTCGCGTCCTCCTCCTCCTCCTCCTCCTCCTCCTCCTCCTCTTCTGTCCCTCGTCTGAGTCCAGGCGCATCGCCTGAAATTGATACGCCAGATTCATCGTGGCCCTGCTTCTTCACCTTCACCCCTCGGCCTTTCCCCCTTTAGAAATCCACACTGTGAATACTACCCCCCCCTCTCTCCCCTGACTGTTTGCGGAAGATGGTCGGACCTCTCCGCGTCCTGCTGTTTTTGCAGATGATCTCGAACGCTGAAATGTCCTACGATGGTTGTTACAAACATTTGCTGCGGTGCTTCAAACTTGTGTTCCGTTGCAGCGTGGGCCTCAATCTCGGATCGGCCATTTACTCCCGTGTGTCAGAATGGCGCTCTCACCCCAACGCGGGCCACTGTTCTGGATCCGAGGCCTTTTTCATCCCTGTCGCCCCCTCATTTCCACTCCTCCGCTTTCCCCTGGTCCTCCTGCTCATTCCGCTCCTTCCACTCCAGTTCCTACTGCTGCTGTTTGTCCTCGTCCTCCTCCGTCGTCCTCCCTCTCCTCCTCCTCCTCCTCCTCCTCCTCCTCCTCCTCCTCCTCCTCCTCCTCCTCCTCATCTTCCTCCTCATTCTGTCTCCTCCTGCTCCTACTCCTGCTCAACCGCCACCTCCTCCTCGTATGTAGGCATATCCCCCTTCCTGATTGCGTATCACACGATGGGGCCGCTTTGAGGAGGTACACCTCGGCTCTGCCACGCGTCCGCGGATGCAGAACACATCAGCGCAGAAGGAAGGGATGGGAGGGAGGGATAGGATGTCAGATATGGCGCAAGCGCGCCTGGCTTGTTTCCTACCCCGTATAATTTCTCCATGTCCCGGCCGTCCCAAGGCGGGCTTCAAAGCGTACCAAGCCGCGGCGAGGAGGATGCCCCCGGAGCCCCAAACAAGAGCCAAACACATTGTCCTGACCCCCTGTTCCTTCTCTTCACCGTTATGTGACCTTCCTCCACCGCCTCCTCCTCCTTCAGAGAGTCTTACGGAGGTTCCTGAAAAATTCGTGAAGTCCCTGAAGGTCTCCACAACAATCAAACAAGTACCAAGCAGCATTGGCAAATCACCCTCGGTCCTCTTTCCCGCCCCTCTCTCCTGCTCGGCGGCACCTGCGCAGCACCCTCGCGGCAACAGCAAACGACAGAGGCAGAGAGGTAAGAGGCAGAGAGAGACACAAACAATAACACGCGCGCGCACCTGGATGGTCCTTGGCGGCGGAGGGAAACGGCCTCGATCGCACGTAAAGCGCGCCCCCAGGGACAGCATTACCCGGGCCTCGCGGACCTCCTCCTCCTCGCCCTCCTCCTCCTCCTCCTCCTCCTCCATCTCCTCCTCCTCCTCCTCCTCCTCCTCCTCCTCCTCCTCCTCCTCCTCCTCCTCTTCCTCCTCCACCTCCTCTTCTTCCTCCCCCTCCTCCTCCTCCCTCCACCTCCTCCTCCTCCTCCT